GGGGTCGTAACCTGGTAACAAACAAGACGTCGTTCACCTTATAAACAGGATCCCTTGGTGATGAGTCAGCTCAAAAAAGAAACATCTGCTACTGACACAGCCAGTGGGTGGTTGGAGTGTACCTCTGATTAGTCCTATTTCTTTTCTCTCTTTCTGTTGTTTCTATCTCTGCCATCGCTTGCCCCTGGACCAAAAGACTGCGGGTGGTAAAAGGACGCTATTGATGAGTCCCAATTCTTTTCTATATTGTTTCTCCCTGTCCGTTTCGTCTTTCCCCCGTACTGAATGACCTGCAATGTATCGGTGTAAGTTAGTAAGTTTAACGCCCCTCTCAATAGTATCCAATATGATATATCTCTGAATTTAACGTCCATTTCCGACAGAACCAAGCAAAATGGGTTGAGAATTTTGAAAACTCCATCCACAAAACGACTCGAGTTCAAGAACACCTTGTCTGAGATTCGAGCCAAGGCCATCCACTACAGAGTCCAGCATGATACTTACTCAACTGAGTTAACGTGGCGCTCTGTATCAGCGTGCTTCGCTTTACGTAAACAAAGAAACACAGAGCTGCCCGTTATTGTATCTACTAAGTACTTCTCTTTACTTAACAAATAAACGAGCGTAATCGTGCCTATGTGCTTCGATTTACACAAACAAAGAAACAAACATAAAAATATCTTGTTTACTTTTAGTAAGAATTATACGGCACTTGCAACACAATAAAGTCACATAAGTGCCGAAGATTAGAGGTGTCACAAGAGAGTAACAAACACACAAAAAAGAAGGAGAAGAGATCATTACGATTTTATTATATGTTTGATAGGAAAGACGGAGCAAACCATAGCAGAGCATCCGCCAACCACCCACATAAAGCTGTATGTATGTATGTATGTATGTATGTATGTATGTATGTATGTATGTATGTATGTATGTATGTATGTATGTATGTATGTATGTATGTATGCATGCATGCATGCATGTATGTATGTATGTATGAATATATGTATGTATGTATGTATGTATGTATGTATGTATGTATGTATGTATGTATGTATGTATGTATGTATGTATGTATGTATGTATGTATGCATGTATGTATGTATGCATGCATGTATGTATGTATGGATGTATGAATGTATGGACTGCATGCATGTATGTATGTATGTATGTATGTATGTATGTATGTATGTATGTATGTATGTATGTATGTATGTATGTATGTATGTATGTATGTATGTGTGTATGTATGTATGTATGTGTGTATGTATGTATGTGTGTGTGTGTGTGTGTGTGTGTGTGTGTGTGTGTGTGTGTGTGTGTGTGTATGTATGTATGTATGTATGCCATTGTAAACCAAATTGCCCTTCTGGGATCAATAAAAGTACAATCTATTATTTAATTTAATTTAATTTATTTAAAGCTGTCCATTATGTACCTACGTGCTTCTTTTTCCTCAACCGAAAGACAAAGTGAGTATCATTGTATCCAAGTCCTTTTCTCTCCTCGAACCTGGCGCTCATATGACCGTATGCAGTTGCGAGCGCCGTAAAACCTCTACTGAAAAAAAAATATCCTCAAACGGAGACTGCCAGGAAATGACGTAAAGAGTGTAGACATCCCGCTGTCGCCTTCTCCGGTCAAACGGGACAACACCGGAAGCAATTTGTGACACGCCTTGTCTAGCTATCCTGAGAGAAAGGCAAAAACTCAGGTTCATAACGAGACCATTTTGAATTTTGCCCGGGTGGCGGCTGAAGTCTACTCTTATCAATTTTGGACCACCAAGGATCTTTAACGTGCGTAACTTGCACAAAGAGCCTCCGAGTTTTTTCGCCCTTATCCGAGAAGGCAAGGTGTAAGATCTTACATTCTTAAGATCAGGGGTGTGGCTGAAAGATAGTAAGAAGGACCCAAGGAGTTGCATTAAAAAGACTGTAGAAAGAGCCAGGAGCACAGAGGAGCGGGCAAATGAGATGAGGGGGTGGGGGCAGGAAGTGGAGACGAAAGCAGACGACTGAACATTGCTAGAGAGAAGGAAAGGAAGTGAAAGGAGAATCTTTTTCAGAGAAAAAAAATTCTGTCGCTGTCCAGATTCGAATCTCGGACCTATTGAATAGGAGGCGAACACCGTGACGTCTCGACCACGAGAGCCGCGAGTAAGTTCTGAATAGAGACATTCACTAGACTTTCACAAAGAAATCATCCTGACAGCACGCACGTACGCAGCCGGCTGCTGTGGCACGCGGCACAGCGCGTGTAACGAAACGTGAACACCGTCTAATAAACAGTTCGCCCGTGAACGTCGGACGATGACCAAAGTACGTCACGTATCTGCAAAGGAAAACATTTCTTATAGTTTATAGGGGGTGCCTATTAGCACGATCAGTTCCGTTCGGTTTGGTTAGGTAGGCGGGGCTAGCCAGATTGAGGGCGCAAAGCAACCATCGTAGCACGGACCGATCGCTCGACTCGCAGCCTAAAAAACAAACGCATGTTTTCAGGCCGCAATTTGGGCGATCGGTTTGTCAATTCCCCAATTTACATATGTATTATATGGGGTTTTTTTTTTGGGTAAGTGTTTTACGGCGCTCGCAACTGCATAAGGTCATAATATGAGCGCACGGGACATATTTTACATTTTCAGCTGGTAGGAAATTTTGAATTCTGCCCGGGTGGCGACCGAAGCCTACTCTTATCGATTTCAGACCACCAAGTGATCTTTAACGTTTTAACGTGCGCAACTTGCACACAGGACCTCCGAGATTTTTCGCCCTTGTCCGAGAAGGCTAGGTGTTGATCTTTCCTACCAGGAGATCAGGGGTGTGGCTGAAAGACAGCAGTAAGAAGGAGCCAAGGAGCAGCAGTAGAAAGGCTGCAGAAAGAGTTAGGAGCCCAGAGGAGACGGCAAAGGAGGTGAGGGGGTGGGAGTAGAAAGTGGAGACGAAAGCAGACGACAGAACATTGCTAGAGAGCAGGAAAGGAGGTGAAAGGAGACAATTTTAGAGAATTCTTTTCCGTCGCTACCCAGATTCGAACCCGGGACCTTTGAATGAGAGGCAAACACCTTAACCTCTAGGCCACGAGAGCCCCCGATCCCCGAATGGGCACTGGGTGTTAAGCAAAAAGGAAGAAATAAAGGTTAACCTGACTTATGGCTTCTGCCGTAGCCAATGAGAGAATATTCTGGCTCTGAAGAGTTTTTCACATTTTGAGTACCGGTATTTACAACATTCATTTCCACTTGTGGGTATATCGTGTGCGCAGCTTGTGGGCGTCTCTCTTGGCTTCAACATTTCTTATTCGTGAAGCCTCATATTATCAGGATAGGCTGCCCACTGTGACTGCTGCTCTCCAGCTGGGTCTGTCAGGAGCTAAGCTCTTCCGTGTCGAAGGGTTTGATGTTGGAGTCCTTCAGAGACATTTCCAGGGCGTCTGTGGCGCTTTGTATTCCATCTGCCAGATGGGGAATTTGAGGTTCGAATACGATTTGGTTTTATTTTCCTCAACCTCCCTGGGTTATTTCCTCTTCACCCAAGGTGAAACAGTGAAATGGTATAGGTTTAATGCCCCTATCAACACTATTAGGTTGTTTAAGAGGCGGGACCTCTGTGTTTAACGTCCATCTACGAAACGACCGATTCCGCCTGAGGTCCCAAATGAAAAAACAATTAAAAAATTAAAAATTATGTAGTGTATCCAGGAAAGCGCTAAGGATAGTATTTTGCAGGCTGTTATGAATCAACATCTTCTTAGTTTCAGTAAGAGTTTTACGGCACTTGCAGCACAATAAGGTCATATAAGAGCCGAAGAGTAGAAGTGTTACAAAAGGTAACAAACACAAAAAAAGGAGGAGAGATGAGAATGAAAGATGTTTGACAGCAAAGAAGGAGCAAACCACAGAATAGCATCCGCCAACCACCCACTCAACATCTTCAACAGTTGAGTTTTAGAGAGAGTTTTACGACACTTGGATATAATAGGCCCCAATATAATGGCCAAAGATAACAAGTGTTATTACAGAGTAACATACAAAGAAAAGAAGGAAGACAGATTAGGATGATAGATGTCTGGTAGGAAAGAAGGAGAAAACCGTACCAGAGCATCCACCAACCACTCACAACATCTTCAACAAAACACTTACACAGAATATTTAAAAACGAAAGAAGTGAATTCATTTGAATTTTTTAATTCATTCAACAACTGAAATAAAATAACTAACTTGTTACACAGAACGTTGAGGAGCTGTGACAAGAAAGAGCACAGTGCGCAAACATCAAGTAGATATGCGTTGTTGTTGTTACGTCTTCCACTTCAGCACACGCTCTCCATACGGTGGTCAGAGGCAAAACGTGCTAACTACCCTCCCCCACCCCCCGCCTCCCCCAACCACCCTACACAGTGTCGCTCCTACGCATTTACACAATCAAAGGAGAGCAGATAATACATTACTTATGTCCGATTTCTCTGCTCTTCTTGACAAAAGCAATAGATAGATCTACATTAAAATGATGTACATCGGCAGTTGAGTAAAAGAGAGAGAGTTCGCGCATCTCATGTCGTAACAAAAGCAAAAGATAGATCTACATAATTTATGTACGTTGGCAGTTGAGTAAAAGAGAAAGAGAGAGTTCACGCCTCCCACTTCTTGACAATTTCAAAGCAAAGGGTACACGGGGTGCACGTATGCACGCTATACAAACACCATGTTTTGGTTTGCTAGCTGTCAAACGTTCCGGCAAAAGCTTGTTCTATGTATATATATGTCTAATGATCACCATTACAACCAACACTCTTATAATAGTTTCACACCGTGTACTATTTGAGGCGTTCTTTTCAATTCACAAAAAAGATGGTCATGGAGTGTTTAGCTGATGGCAACAAACTGATCGCGTAAAATATTCAGTTTAAAATGTACACATGGAAAGTAGTCAACGCTAAGAATTGGTGAAGCACATTAACATACAGTTGTTTCAGTCATTCTGTGCATGGTACATCGGTATCAATCTAAAACCATCATCCCATCTGAAGGAGCTTGATACACGACGTATCTACTCGTGGCATTTGCTGTTACATGAAAATTGAGTAAGTGACGGAGGACTACCAAATATTGTAATAGACACAATCTGTTCTTTGTTTTAGGCCAGAAAAAAAAAGAAATCTGGATTCTTTTCCATGATAAAGGAACATATGCTGCCGCATTCCAGATCAGTACATTTGATTCTTGAGACTTCCTTTGAATTGAGCAGACATATTTTTGATAACAATAACCACCTCAACACATCATTTCTCCACAAATCTTCCAAAAAATAAGTGCTCTCGATATCAACACTTATGCCTGTAAAATCAAAAATAGAAATCAATGCATCATTCCTCATGAAACAAACGTACTCAAAAGAGTAAATATATGTACAAATCCTTAGAGAATCCAAATGTACAGCCAGAGTCCAAGTATTTTGCAACAAACAAGGAGAGTGATCTTTCACAATCTGCACACACACACTGGGTTTTACCAGCGTCTGTGGTATAGCAGTTAGGTGCTCCACCATTGCACCAAGGAGACCCAAGTTTGATTCCCGAGTGAGAAGAATTTTTATAGAGTACCTCAAAACTTCTGTTGGGATGTTCTATCCCTCTCAGCCAAAGTTGGCCCCTGACAGGCAAGGTTGAAGCCCGACCCTTCCTAAATGATCCAAATTGTGTTGGTATGGGTGTAAAACCAGTACCATTAAAAAAAGACCCCCCCAAAATAAAAAAAATTAAAAAATCCAACCCCACAATACCCCCCCCCCCAAACAAACAAAACACACTGAGTTTTTCCTAACCGTCAGAGATGGGGAATAGGAGAACTTTTGCACAAGAAAATGACCACATAACAGTGCCCTCCTGTTCTCAGCATTCCCCGACACGGAACAACTTGTGATGACATAACAGTGCCAATCTATTCAGCATTCCACTAGACAGGAGAACTTGCACAGCCAAAATGTAAACCTCTCTCAACATCCAAGAGGAATAGAACAGACATGGGGCTAACAACTCAGGTACAACATCTACAGTTCAACCTGCTTTAACCGTCACCTATCCTAAACCCATTTACAAAACCATTAACTTGCATTCTTCCACTATTTTCTAAACCATTAACTTGTCTTCCTTTCCTCCTACTACCTCTTTAAAGCTATGGGAAACAACTTTTTACATCTTTTTCAATAACCAAGTAAACATTTTTATTGTCAGATATAAACACTGTTTTCAATCTTCACAATTAAGGAATACTAGTAAGTAAGTACACAATACAGCACATGGCAGGAGATGTGCCACCAACTGAGTCAATGATATGCCGATGGAAGAAAAGTGTTGCAGGAAGGTTCTACTTCTTTCTTATTCAAGTAAAGTGCTGTTAGCCGTAAATGTCCTGTCATGCTTCATACTTGGACTCTTTGAGAAACAATACAGAAACAACAGCAGGATGAAGAATAAGGGAGTTTCCTCACTTAAACTGACTCCTTGAAACAAAAGAAGAGAACCCCCCCCCCCCCAACAATCCATTTTAACGCTAACGTCCCCCACCTGGTCCCTTCACCCCCTCTCTAACATACCAAGCTCAAGTACACACAAATATCATGTGCAGCCATTGCCACTTGAGTTCAAGTGCTGTGTCAAAAAGTTTGCCGAGGATGATCAACCAGTCAACAAACATCCAACAAAGTATCCATAGAAAGATTAAATGACATGTCTGGAGAGCAACAACTTGTTGTAAATAATATAAGTTAACATTTTAGCCGCTTTAAACAAATACAGAATGATGCACAAGTCACCGCTTTTTCTACATTGTCACGAATGTAATTCTTTCTCAAAGTCAGGATATAACATCACTACTTATTATTAAAATTATTACTTTTCTTTTCATTTCCTTACATGAAGTCAACCCCAAGTGTTAACTTCGTCCTGCTTTCTATGGCTATAAAACTACAACTTCTGTGACCTACAATATAGCCAAACAACCAGGACTACTTTGTGGAACAAAAATCTCAAAACAAGATTAACCCTTTTCATAAGTACAATTTCAAACGCTTTAAGCTTACAAATGTGTTGATTTTTTGACACATGAGAAATGAGATTGAATCTCTTTACACCCCTCCTCCCCCTCTTTCAACCGTTAAAAATCTCCCATCAGCAAAGAGTCTGGTGGACACAACCTTCATGGCTTAGCTTGAAAAGAGAACGCGATGAACATTTACATGACCTAATTACAATAAGCTGGAAACATAAACAATGTGTAAGCGTAGTCAGATTGTACTTCATCATTTTGAAAGACAAGTAATAATAAAATGTACACACAACTGGAAATACAATAAAATGTGAATACAGAGCAGGTTTGCTGAGAAAAACGACAACCTTTGTCACTGCGAGGGCTGTGCTGTGTAGACAAACAGAACGCAATACAACATTCACAAGAAACATAACCTGACCCAAAGGACACCCCCCCCCCCAACCTCCGCAAGAAAACTCTTTAAAGTAAGGGGTCTTACGTTCTCTGAAAGAAAGCCTTAGCAAATTTTCTGTAATAAAAGTACCTAATTTCAACTTAACCGTAATTGTCTCAAGTACAACCAACAATTACAAAACAACACTACTTTGCCTCGTGCATCTGTCCCCTTCCACCCAGTCCTTTAGCTCTTGAAAAAAAAAAGCAAAACACCCCAAAACAAATAAGTGCCATAAAAATACAATAAACATCTGTTCCAACTAACACAAAATCAGTGCCCCATCTCCCCTGAAATGATAGGAGAGTGCAGCATTTCATACTTGAGATTGAGAGCGCACTCGGATCCTGCATCTATTTTTAAGACAGTCAAGTGACTTGCTAAGAAGCACCCTCCTCACCTAATGCAGCTACCAAACCTTCCACATCACAAACCTTGTTCCCTTGTTTCAATGCAGCTTCCTGCTTATGGTTCATTTTGGCAGTAAATTTGTAACTAACAGTAACAACATTGGGGAATTTATGTTGGGTGACCCTTCAGAACTACACCAAATCATACTTGACTAAAAATAGAGTTGACATCATGCGCAGACTCTGAGCTTATTGAGATGAGAGCATGTATTCTAAAAAGTTTCATCAGCACATATAAACATTGGCGGTAAAAGGTAAAGGAGAAAATGTAACTCCAATGTGGAAACCAGAGCAGAGTTATGAAAAACAACTGAATGCACTGGGACCACACTACAAAAGATCCAAGATAAAAAGAGCTGTCCTTTGTATAGATATCATCTGCATCAGAACAGAGGCTTCTTCAACAGGCTTGAAGCACATAGTATTATGCAGGGGGAAAACTAAAAACAAATTCAAATCATGCGTCAGGAGAATCTGTAAAAGATCTAAAGATGGAAAAAAAAGATACCTTCTTTTGCCTATGCAAGGTCTTGTATATTGTGTGTCTGCGCCAGATTTTTGTGTGTGTACGGTCAGTCTTTGTCTCGCCAACCATGGCTGCTTGAGTGGGACAGAGGGAGGGAGAAAGGGGGGGAGAACGAGAGAATGAGAGAATGAGAGACAGAGAGAGAGGGAGAGAGAAAAAAAAAGGGGGGGGGGGGGGAGACAGAGAGAAAGAGGAGAGGAGATGAGGAAGGGGAAGACAGGGACACTTATATTCATTTTTCAATGGGAGTCTTAAAAAGAAGTTACTTGTGAGGTGTAAACTAGTTGCATCCACGATGCTGACTTTTGAAACATTGCAAAAAGTTACAGGTTGTCAAAGAGAAATAAATAAAATCTGCAAGTGTTCAACAGGAGAAAAGCACCACAGACTGAGCTGCATCTTAAGGATGGACAGAAAACGTGTTGAAGAAAAAAACAAAACATTTAAAGGAAGATGAATAAGGAGTAGCGGGTGGGGGGGAGGAGGGTGGAAAAACAAAAGAAATTAAATCATAATAGGAATCCCGAGTTTTCAGGCAACCCAGTGGCACATAATATTTCTCACATGGCAACAGAGAAAGGCAAATGACACAGTGGAAAGGAACAAAGAAAATGAAAAAAACATTTAGGAAGGAATTGACTTTCCCGAACAAGAAGTGTGCAGGAACTTGGACAAAATTGGAAGGTGTACATCATAAACCGCATATAATAACATGAGAAACAGTGAAAGTATGCTTGTACTTTTGTCTTGCTGTAACTTTCAAGTTAGTGGGCAACAATTTGGTAAAAACTTTGAATCTCCCCTGAACAAACACAAGTTACTTCAACAAGTTCACAATATTGCATCAGTCTGCATTGCTATTCACATTCAACGGTATCAAATCCACCAATGTTTGAATTTTAAAATAAAGTCACAAGAAAGAAGCCCCTACTCCTACTCAGATTATTTTCATCGTGAAAGAAATATACCATGTGTTACTTCAGTAACCAAAAGAATTTTAAAACATTTTCATTTGAAAAGGGCTTTGGATCCCTCTGTGACAAACGCTATGGTCTCTTAACGATTATTTTATAAGGAAAAAAAAAAGGTCTTCATAATTTTAAGGAATGCAAAAAAATCAAATATCGCAACAATACCCTAATCTTCACTTTTCTTTGGATTTTGATTGACTTCTCTCACAAGAAAACACTAAATTGTACAAGAACAAATGACATGAATCAGGCGCCACCAGCGTGTAGAAATCTGAGCCATGGACTTTTATCCTCCGGGTACGTGTATGTTTAAATAATCATTACAACAGAGTCACGGTCAAGATCTGATGCTTGATCAAAAAACAAGATTGATGTCATTGAGAAAAACGGAATATCATGGACACGCTGCTGGACACATCACCCTGTACGATTCGCCTCCGCTTGTTTAAAAAACCCTTGGTGGGAGAAGCTCTCCACAAATGTGACGTTGACCTTATGGCATTTGACGTCGGTGACGATGATGGGTCGCGACGTGTCGGTGGTGTGGCGTCTGCGAGCGTGGTGCAGCTTCTTGTGCTGATACGGCTCACTGCTGCTGTAGCAGCGCCCGTGCTGCGCCGTCCCCCCCGGCGACGGGCTGGGTAAAGACTTGCTGCTGGCAGTGGGGGTGGTAGGGGTGGAGGCGGTGGCGGTGGTATTTGACTTGAAAGTCGTGCTGTTGTCCGATGTTTTTTCTACGGTGTCTTGTTCCTCTTTCAGAATATGAGCTTCCAACCTCTGTCGCTCACGGTTCATCTGAGACTCGAACTGAGAACTGAAGTTCCAGTCATCTGCAACATCTTCTGACGTGAGCAATTTGGACAATGTGGAATCTGATGACGTTGCCTGGGCAGTAGGAACGACCCTACTGCTGGAGAGCGATGACGGGCAGTAATGATTTAAGTTATTGTTTATGTGGTCGTACTTGGCTGCGTTAGCTTCTGTGGAATTTTGCTTGGCATCGATGAGATCGCTCGCACTGAGATTGAGCGCCTGTCCGAGGCGTGGGTCACTATTGTCTTTACCGTTACACTGGGAATTGTCCTTGTCACACATGGCATCTTTGCACGGGCTGTGCTCACGTTCGACGTAATCGACGTCCGAGCGGATTCTGTGTACGCGGAGCACGTGAGATTCACCAAGACTTGAGGTAGATGTTGACGAACACTTCACCTCCCAGCAGTCAGAATTGGGCCACTTATCATCCTCTTCTTCTTCTTCCATCTCCTCCTCTTCTTCTTCCTCCTCCATATCTTCTTCGGCTGTGCCAACCTCATCTTCTAATGTATCACAGTTCTTCCTCGAGGTTTGACGGTGGATGTTTGCTTTGTTTTCTTCCAGGATCATGCTCAAAGACTTGTTGCTTTTCTTCTCTTCCTCTCCCTCGTATGTTTCCTGCCCCGTAAGACTCTCATCTGCACTGTCTTTGTCACAGTAAACATGCTTCCTCTTCACTTTGCGAGGCTTGAGCGCCCGCGGTGGGCTGCCCCACAGTAGCGGGAGTCGGTCCGAGGGCAGGTACGGCCACAGGTTCTCCTGAGAGGCGCTGCGACGTTTGGGGACACTCGATGGGCCCACCACTTCGTCATGCTCGCTGTCGTTGACGTCGCCTGGGTTCTCCGCACTGGCCAGACGCTGAGAACAAAACAACAGACAAAGGTTAGCAGACGTGACTTTATATATATTTTGAGGTCACTGTTCATCAAGCAACCAATGGCTCAATGTTGTCTTTAGTTTTAATAAGTGTTTTACGGCACTTGCAACACAAGAAGGCCATAAAAGTGCCGAAGATTATAGGTGTTGCAAGAGAGTAACAAGCACTAAAAAGAAGGAGGAGTGATATGGATGACAGATGTTTGGTAGGAAAGAAGGAGCAAACCACACCAGAGCACCCGCCAACCACCCACTCCATGTTGTCAGCCTGTCCTTATTTTTATTAAACAAGCATTGAATACAACAAGTGTATGATAATGAGAGTACAACTGAGCACACTTATCAGTCTCCGTCCATCTACCTGGATGAAATGAATGAGAAAGTTTCTGCAGTTTTTTTTCATTTTCCTATCCCATTTGTCTGTCTACCTCTCAAAGATTTCTGTACTGTACTTGGGCATGTATGTATTGTTACATACAAAGTAACTCATACTATTGATGCTACTACGACACACAAAACATTAACATTTATCAAAATATACCCCAAAACGAACTGATGAATATCATCCAGTTACCCGTTTTATGTAAACAGAGATGTTGGCAAAAAGTTTTGTGTGAAGGCTTTAGGAAAAGACAGATATTAGACGTGGGGAGCAAGAAATCAATCGTGACCCACTGATCCTCCTCAGCCCATAGACAGAGACCACGCCCCGTCAGTGATTACACATCAAAATCCTTTAACAAGTCCAAGGTCAAAAACACATGATCTTCGAAAGTAGGACCAAAGATCTCAGGAACGCTTATTTTATTAATGACTGCACAGGCTTTTTTTTGCCGTTTTATAGATAATATACATATATATTAACATTTAAAAAAAAACGTAATTTGATCCCCTCCAACAAATACACCGATCTTTCAATAGTAGTTCGAGAAAACAGTTGCGTAGCTAAAATAAAAAGCATTCAACTTTCTCCGAAAAAAATGAACACTGGTTCATCTTTTGTAAGATCTCAAACAGAGTAAAAACCAAAAAAACCCCAAAAACAAAAAAAACAAAAAGATCCAGTAAGGACGTTCAACAGTATCCTGGTTCTAAGATTTCTGACAAAGACAAAAATTACAACTGAAAAAAGACAATAATAATAACAAGGCGTCTCACCTGTTTTCTTTTCTTCCGCATTATTCGTCTCTTCTTTCGCCACTCATCTCGCCTGAAAAACAGAAAGAAAACTCTTGAATCTTCATATTTAGTAAATTTAAACATTTTCGTGCCATCTTCTTTCAAATCAATAAAGCACTGGTCTCACGCTGCTTTCAACACTGTTAGGTTATTTGGGAGGCGGGACCTCAGAATGTTATGTCCACCTCCGATAAGACTGAGCAAAGGACTCTTGAAAAATCCCCTAAACAAACCAAGTTCTATAATAATAATAAAGGCAATAATAATAATAATAATAACAATAATTAAGTTTTAGTTTCAGTAGAGGTTTTACGGCGCTCGCAAAAGCATAAGGTCATATTAGCGCCAGAAGATTAGAGGTGTTACAAGAGAGTAACAAACATAAAAAAGAAGAAGGGGAGATAAGGACGATAGATGTTTCATAGGAAAGAAGAAGCAAATCACACCAGAGCACCCACCAACCACCCACCAACAATAATTTAAAAAAATAAAATAATAACAATAATGAAGACCAATTCTATAGCGCCCATCCCTGACGGCTCTTGGGACTTCGCAATAAAATAACATTTCGAAATCTTACACAATGACAAGTTTCCTGAATACCAGTCTATTCATTGTATTCTACAACAGTCCATGTACTCATGGGAATACGCTCACATAAAACATCAAGTTCGGACAAAACACACACACAAAGACAAAGTGGTAATGAAAAGGAGAAAATGAACCCCCAAAAAAAGAGAAATAAACGCAAAAGAAGCAAAAGCAGGAGGATAGAGAGAAAAAGAAAAGAGAACGCAAAGACAGCTAGAAACACCTCTCCTCAACAAAACAAAACATCCACGGAATATCACAACAAGGATGCCACTGGGGCTTTGTGAAAATACCTGAACATTTACCATTTCCATAGAAACGAAAGAAAAAAAGAACCCAAAAAAAAAGACCAAAAAAGAAGGTTAACATACACAACTAGTGTGGGTTAAACAGAAAACAAATTATGAAAAGAAAAACATAACTGTTCTTCTAGTAAAAATAACGGAAATAAAGGGAGGAAAACAAAACAAAAAACAAACCAAAAAAACCCCAACAAAACAGCAGCAAAAGAATAAAAGAAAATACATTACGGGGAAAATGGCACCCTTGACATAAAGTAACAATTAGTATCGATTTAAAAACGCACTGCATAAAAAAAAAAACACACATTAAAAATCCACCCTGGTCTGAACATCAACTACGTGAACTACAAAGGAAGCCCAGACACTTCAACACTATACAGGCGATTACATCTCTCGTAAATTATCCACGGTTTCTTAACTGGAAAAAAAGAAATAAATTAAAAAGTTGGAATCAATCATCCCCATAACGAGATAAAAACTACAACTCGACGGAGGCTCTGAACTTCTTTACGGGCCAAATCCGTCCATAATGACGTCAAAGCTTAAGCCTATGGCGGATCCCCCTCTAATCCTATTCTCTCCCTAACGACGGTGTTGGAGACCGAGGTGGCGAGTTTCTCTCGCCCAATTACAAGTAGGAAATAATCGCAAAACTGATGTATGGTGGCAAAATAAGAATAGAGTAAATTAGCCATATTTGTTTTACCGGGGG